AGCTAATACTGAAATGCAGGGTACAGAGGGTGCGAGGGCAGGCAGGTCTCGTTGGCAGAGATGGCTGGAGCAAGGCTTTGCTTTCTACCACGCTGTGAAGCGAATGCCACCACATTCACCTCGTGCTCTCCGGGGATGTGTGGTGCAAAGTGCCCGGCAGACCCTGGGGACAGGGCCATATCTCAGGCCATGCCGGGTGCCCCTGTGGAGTGTGGAGGGGACCGTGGCAGTGTCCCCCACAGCGTGCTCCGTGGGTGTCACTGCTCGGCCTGGCAGCTCCTTGTGCTGACACTCCTGTGCATGAAAACCACGAGATGGCACTAGCAACTTTTGCAGGCCACGGGCTTCCCAGCGAGGTACACACACACACACACAAATACAACATGCTGCATTGCCGTGATCCCGTCACAAAATACAGGTATTCTGCAGTCACGGAGATGTCAAGGGGTATTTCTCTTAATGACTGGTCGGCTCTCACCAAATCCTTTTCCATTTCCATTTCATTACGTTCCAACGGCCAGCAGTTTTTGTTTACGATGGGCAGATTGGATTAATGGCCCCCACCTACCACGCTACTGTGCATTTAATGCCTCATATCCAGGAGAAGAGTGATTAAAAAGGACAACTGATTCTAAAGTGAACTGTGCCTATATACAAAAGGCCGAGTCAAAGCAGGCCCAGGGTGTGCCTGTTCAGTTGTGAAGCTCCCTCAGACTCCAGATGCCCTTTCTGTGGCCACATTGAAGCAACACTCCATCTGTAAATCGCTAAATAAAAGTGAGTTGAATACTGATCTCCAGTTCCAAGGCCAGCCCAGCACTGTTTGACTCGTGTCCACACCCTGTAGAGCTGTCCCATTGGTCACAGGCATACCAGGGCAGCTGGCTTGGCTTCCCTCCTGGACTGCTGCGGGATCCTTATGGCTCTAGGGCACAATTATCCCATTTTGCAGGGGAGGTTGTAATCTGAAATAAAGTGAGGACTCTGTGGCAGTGCAGCTGAGAGATGTTTTTACAGCATGACCCTGAGGGGCTGTGTTTCATGCCTGGTGGGACATCCAAGGGCATGTAGGAGCCCAGGAAGATGCAAAGTCTGATGGGACAGTGTTGGAGACAGAAGGGTCCGGGCTTCCTGCAGCCTCTTCCAGAGTGGGAACAGTCCTTAGGGTGAAGGCAACCAGGTGGTGTCTTGGAGAACGCTGCTTGAGGAGGTTCAAAACAGAGTCAACAAGCAACCAAATGATCCAGTGTTTGAACTCCTTGTCCCTCTTACAGAGAGAGAGTGATCGGGCATTGGAATAGTCTGCCCAGGGAGCTGGTTGAGTCACCATCCCTGGCTGTGTTTAAGAACCGTTTAGATGTGGTGTTGGGGGATATGGTGTAGGGGAGAACTTTAGAGTAGGGTAGATGGTTGGACTCGATGATCCTGAGGGTCTCTTCCAGCCTAGATGATTCTGTGATTCCATTTGCTATTGTAGACAATTCCCATCACAGGATTGCAGCCTTGCAGGGCTTTCCACCTCGAGTAACTGTATTCCTCCCCGACATGCACATGTCCAGGGTATTTCCACCCAGTTATCTCACAGCCGCTCCTGGGCTCAGGGTGACAGCATCCTTCCCAGGTACTGAAGTAACATTGCCCAGCACGCTGCATCGATTCCTCCTGGAGCAGGAAGCACTCAGTGAAATTATCTGGGTGAAGGCTGCAAATAAACGTGACTATCCGTCTGTGCAGGGCAGGAATTCAGTGCCGTTCGCTGCCATGAACTGCAGTAGCAACCCGAGGAATTAAAAGAGATTCAGCAGTAAATCTGACAAATTGAAGGAGGATAAATCCATTGGTAGCACAATGTAGCAGTTGGTCACACAGTGATCTGAACACAGTTTTTGGCTCAGGAAGTCTGGATTCTGTGTAAATTTAGCAATTTATACTCTGCTGAGTCCTGGAAGCTGGGAAAGGATGCCACAGGGAGGATCGTTCTGTATTCAAATGACACTCAGACTCAGATGGGAAAGAATTCATTATCTGAACAGAAATAATTTTGAGTTACTTTGGGGAAGAGTCAACATGGTTTTATAAAGGGAAATCACACCTCATAAATCTATTAGAGGCTTCAGAAGGCATCAACAAATAAGTGTACGGCTAAGAACGATTTTCCAAAGTCCTTCATCAAAGCCTCTTGAAGAAATCATGCTGTGATAGTTTAAGAGGTAAGGTTATGTGAATAAAGGACTGATTAAAAGGCAGGAAACAGAAGGTAGAAATAAATAGCCAGTTCTGACAGTGGAAGGAGGTTGGCAGTGGAGTCATGCAGAGATTTGTACTCAAGCTTGTATTGTTCAGCATGACTTAAACCTGGAAAAATGGAAGCTTCCTGAGATGGGAGTTTGTTGTGGTTATGTGGTAATTAAGCATCCAAGATAGTAAAGATGCTGGACAAGTGGAGAAGTTGCAGAAGGGTTTCACAATACACATCAATGGGGCAATAAAAAGGTAGATGAAATTCAATGTAGCTAATTCTAAAATTAATTGCATAAAAAAAAAATCTAATTTTACATACATGATAGTAGGCTCTGAATTGACTTTTACTGCATGGGCATTGGACCTTGGAGCTATATAAAGATCTCAGCTGCAGTCAAAGCAGCAGGTCACATTATTGGGAAAGGAACAGAGAATAAAATGGAAAACACCTTCAAGCCATTCTGTAAATCCACAGTGCATCTACAGTTCCAAAACTATGTGTGGTTATGGACCTCCTAGGTCAAAAAGCACATAGCAGAGCAGAAAAAATTGCAAAAGAGTAAGAAGGATGAACAAAAGCATGGAATGGTTTTTCTATGAAGAATAACTAACCAGGTTAGGACTTCTCAGCTTGAAAGAAGAAAACAGAACAGAAGGAGGTTTTATAGAAATTTATAAAATCATGAGTGGTCTGAAAATAGTGAACAAGAAATGGTTATCTCTCCCTAGAGCAAACCTAGGGGGTGTCAAATGGCGATAGCAGGTGGCAGGTTAGGGAGATAACCCTTCCTGGACAACATGTAGTAGTTCCACATGTAGCAGTGGAACTCCCTGCCACAGGATGCTGCAAATGATAAATGGGCTCAGAAAACAACTGGACAAATTCAAGAGACAAAAGCCATTTACAAAACTGCTATCTATGGCACCTCAGACCTTCCCGAGCCACACAATCATTTGTACTGCCTCTTGATATGTTCTTATAAAGACAGCTCAGGTGTCCAAGCTAGGCCACTGCAGTGTTGGCTACCTAGGCATGAAACTGCAGGTATCAAAAAGCTTCTGTACGGCATCAAAAGTGCTCATCTCCTTGGTGATATGCACCACTGAAAACACTAATGTGTTCCAATATTCTGGTTTCTTCAATAGTTAATGCATCCATGGTTTTACTCTGCTTCTAAAGCCCTTTGTGAGATGGGACTGTCTTACCAAGACCAGGGTAGTTCCATTCTGCTGCTCAGGACTACAATGTGGGTGAATAACTGACTGGACTATCAGGCTTGAAGGGTACTGGACTACAGTACCCTTAGTTTAAAGCCTAACTGGCAGCCAGCTGCAAGTGGCATTCTTCTGGGGTAAACACTGGGGCCTGTGCTGTTCAATGCTTTTGCCTATGTCTTTCATAAGGGGATGAAATGCACCCTCAGCAATTTTGCAGATGACTCCCCATGCGGGGAGTCACAGATATACCGAAGAGCAGGCTTGTCATTCACAGAGACCTTCACTAGATGGAGGAAGGTGCCAACAAGAACCTCACAAACTTCAAGGACAAATAACACATCACAGTTGGGCACCTACTGGAAGCTCTGTAGAAAAGGATCTTGGGGTCCCAGTGAAGAACAAGTTGGACATGAGTAAACAATGCACCCTTGCAGTGATAAGGACAGCAGCATAGTGAGTGGTATAAACAGGGGAGTTCATAGAATCATAGAATGCTTTGGGTTGGAAGGGTCCTTAAAGATCATCTTGTTCCAACCACCCTGCTATGGACAGAGACACCTCCCACTAGACCAGGTTGCTCAAAGCCCTATGCAGCCTGGTCTTGAACACTTCCAGGGATGGGGCATCCACAACTTGATGAGTTACCATCAGGTTGATAGAAATAACTCAGCACCTTTCAAACCACATCCAGAGCACTGCACAGTTCTGGGCGAAAGAGATATTGAAAGTCATTTGATGATTGGAGCCATTGAAATTGTATGGGAGCTGGAGCATATGTGCAAGGAGAAGCTGTGGGACTAATGGCAGCCTTCCACCACCTAAAGGAGGATTATAGAGAAGACAGAGCCAAAGTTTCTCAGAGGTACACAGCAAAACAAGAGGGAAAGATCACAAGTTCAAACACGGGAAATTCTGACTCCAGATTAGGAAGTGATTCTTCACCATGACAGTGGTTAAGCACTAGTGCAGGTTGCCCAGAGACACTGTGAAAATGCCACCTTTGGATATTTTCAAACCTGATCGGACAGGGTCCTGATCAACCTGATTTAATTTCAAAGCTTTGAGGTTTGAGCAGCTTTGTGCCTGCTTTCAGCAGACGCTTTGGACTAGACAACCTCCAGAGGCCTCCTCCAACTCCTGATGTTTCTATGATTCTAAAACTGCCATATAAATATATTTAAAACCCACAATGTTAAACCGTAAACCCATAAAAAGTAAACAAAGCCAAATCTACATTGCTTTGCATATACAATGTAATGTTGACATGCACTCATCCTGTGAGGGGAACAAAGAAATGTGGAACAGATAACACCACACACTGATGGAAACAAGAGAGACGCACTATTATGAAACAAACCAAGATGGGATTTAAACATGCAGGATTACCAATATGTGTCACAGCTCCTATTTTATCATTCAGCTTTACTGGAGCAAATAATTTACAATAACACAGTGAAAAACAAAAGATCTGGTCTGCAGAGGCAAAGCTGAGTCCAACATAAAAAATATTTTTGCTATGTTTATTTTGTAATTATCCCACCGACACACACTGCCAAGAGCTGGAGAGCTTGTGTCACTGCATTCATTTTGAAGCCTAGTTAAAACAGTCAGCGAGTCTACAATACTTCACAAATGAACACGCAGAAGGTTAAGCACAACTGACTTTTCATCTCTATTTTATTTCACAGAAGCAACGCATTTCGGGGTGATAAGGAGAGAAAGTTCAGGGTAGACCTGCAGTTCTCAAATGACACTGTTCATAATTTAACCAAAACAATACAATACATAAGTAAATGCCATGAAACTTGTGCATATTCAACTCTCTGAAGAGATCAGCCCCTTCTTAAATAATGGGAAGAGAATTAATGAAGCCAACCTTCAGAGAAACACTCTTCAAACTCTGGCTTTCTTTACTATAGACAAAAAGCTTTCTGTACACTGCCATCTCTGTTTTTCCTGACAGTAGGACACTCAGTTATTCCAAAATTTGGTTACAAGCACCACAAATGTAAACAATTAGAACTTTCACTTCTAGTTAACTATCAGTAAACAGAACAGAATAGAAATACTTGGAGACGGAACCGGTGGGGACAGCACAAACTCAGAGTCCGTGGAAGCTCGTTTGGCTTTCTTCCCATTACTAGGATTAACGTGGCAAAATCTGGAGCTGAGATGTTTGCGGAGCTGCCAGTTAATGCTGCACGTGAGCCCCACGATTGACACTTGAGTCATCCTGTGCTCCATCCAGCCCCACCGCTCCCTGCCGCGTCCGGAGACGGCCCCCAGATGTGCTGAACTCCTTCTTGCAGAGGCGGAAAGATGTTTCAAAGCCTCCTCTTCCTTAAAAGCCCCAAACAACTTTTGTCAGGAGACTGGGTGTTGGCATGATTCCAGGATCAGACAGACACATCAGCTCAAACCAGTTTTCGATTTCATGTTCAGATCAATTGCTATCTATATTATTAAAATATTGTGAAAAGGCCTTCTTTGTTTTTTCCGCTGTTCCAAATAATGAATACTAAAATTTTTAACAGATTTGAACCACATTCATTCTGTTGGTTGTCTTATCTGGAAGTGGCTAGTGTTGATAAAATGGGTCTCACATGAATATACAATGCTATTTCATCATTTGTTTTTCTATTTGTTTTTCATATGATAGAAAATAAGGAACCACAGATTTAAACCTGTGGAGCCTGACTGTCTTAGGCATTGCTGCTCGTGGGGTGAATTGCAAGATGATGGAAAAAAACTGCTGGTCTGACCTCAGCGTGTTTTACAAGTATTTTGACAGGGTACAAATAATAACATGGAGCACAACTTTGGATAAGTAAGTCAGGTCTTCTGTGTTCAGAGAGGGTTTGATCCAAGGGCCACGAAAGTCAGAGGAAAGACTGCGTGGACTCTGAAGGAGTATAGAGCAGGTAAACACACGCACACCATGACAAACCCTTCATTAGTGCTATTTCTGGCCTCAGACATTTCCTAAGAGAACAGTTTACCCAAAACTGCAGCAAGCCTAAACAGTTTGGAGGGCAAGAGGAGGCTGATAATCTCCCATGCTCTTAGAGCTTGAATAGATTTTCCTATTTATACATTGTGTTTAGCACCAAAGACAAGGTTTACTTCTGGTATATGCTATGGTAGCATCTCACAAAGAAGAGACTTCGACTTCAGCCTGATGCCTCTTTCCCCTTGTGGAGAAAATGACAGCAAAATGAAAAAGCCTTGAGGAGCAGTATCCTGGCTCTTGACTATCCTTCTGGCCTCTTCCAGAGTGGGGGTGCAGCTTTAATGGAATCCCCTTCCTCCCCAATAAACCTGGACTCAATTTCCCCCAGGCTTTCTTCCAGAATTGTTTCTACAAACTATGCTTTAATGGGCCAGGGGAGCTGTTCCACTTTTTGTAAATATTATTTAGAGTATGGGTGTGCATTATTATTTTTTTGCCTTCAAAGCAGCAATTCTTCTGAGTAAATCTACCCGGTAATATAGCAAACATTTTTCTCCACAAATGCATTTTTATTCTACCACAATACCATCATGGTAGGCCTTCACCATCTGTGGCTGTATATAGGTTACATACAGTATTATACACACACATTTTAACATGGTCTTTTTCCCACCGGCTAGACCAGAGCTGCAATCAGCACCACTTCTCTGCCAAAAATGTAACTTTTCAGAACACGCGTGATGCAATCTCTATATACAACTTAAATCCAGATGAAGGTACTTAGCTGTCATATTAACATCTTTTTACTTACTTTTTTTTTTAAATATCAAATCAATTGGAGCAAATAAGATTATCAAGAGCATGTATTTTAAAAACATCACTTGAAAAGCCAGTAAAATTTGACTTTTTCTCACTTTGGAGAGAGGTATTTGAGAAGAAATGCATTTTACTCAGAAAGAGGTATGCTTGCACTGGAAATATGAAAAATAAGTTTCTGCTTTAATTATATAACAACTTCTTAAAAATTTGGGAGCTGCCATATATTTGGGACTAGTGGTGTAGCAATATATAAAAATGCTGTGTTATCTTACTTGTTTTGTATTCCAAAATGGTAAGCTCTGTATTGCCTGAGTTAGAAGTAGCTAACATGGTTTAATGGTTTACTTGGGCTTATCACTGTCTACATAAGCGGGTCAGACAACAGCCCAGACAGCACCCTTCCAACTGGAAAGGATGTGCTTTTTGAGGGGATGGGTTGAAAATGTTCTGTAAGGTTTCCCTTTTGGCACTTTCCACATCTTGGACTGTCAAAGTGACAGATACAGCAGAGTTTCCTCTTCCCTGGGGAAGGAGTGAAGCTTCTTCCCGACTCAACACTGCCAACTCAGAAGTTAGAAGGAACTATGTGTGTCCTCACAGGAAATGTCTTGCCTGACTCTACTGGAGACACGTTACTGGGACCTGCTGTGCTTAGAGCTGCCTTTGGATCTTGTGAAAGGGAAAGAAGACCCCTTTCCCCTACCACCTTTCCTGAGCTAGGGGAATTTCTCAGAAAAGATAAAGCAGTTTGGTGTCACAAAGTACTCTTTAGTTTCTGCCAAAGAAAACTGGATTATTATGTGCCTCTTCTGGCATTTCTTTCACTACCAGTCCAAGGGTCAGTCACAGAAACCATCCACCTTGTACTGCCATGGACAAGCCTCTGATCATCCCTTCCAGCACAAATGTACAGGATGAAAACTCAGACTGATTTCCTGTACATAGTTTGAGGACACCCACCTCTGAGGGATCCGAATGCTTTCTTCAAATATTCAGTATACTCTGTTGCATTACCTCATCAGTAAGGAACCTTCTGCAAGATCAAGGTGGGTCCACTGCTGTCATTCACAAGTAGGACACGCTTGCCATGGAAGTTGTAAGATAGAGAAACCTCAGATATAAAATTCTTCTTCGTTAGCTGATGAAGCTGGGCAAACACTACCATGATCATCCAGAGAACAAGGAGCTGCTCTCAAGGACTGTTTGGGCTGCTTGGAAAAAGACGCTGATGTGAATGAACTGGAAGACCATTTGGAGAGAAAAGGCAGTGAACCGTCAACTGACTCAAAGGTATTGCACACAGTTGATATAGGCCTTTCTCTGGTGGCTGTCTGTTTAGTCTTACTGATAGCTTGCTTCTGTTGGGGAAGAGAGGCTTTCAAGTCATTGCAAAATCCATTAAGGGCAGAGTACGCAGAGACTACAGACAGGTCTGAGAAGGACAGCTTCATCCCTGTGTCTACATCAGTCTCCTGTGCACCCTCCAAGTCATCAATGTTAAGCCTGGGGCTACATCTCCATGTTTTTAACCTGGTTGCAGGTGATCCAATATTTAAAAACTGAAATGGTTCGCTGAAATGAGAAGTCTCTGAGGCTGAGGAGGAGTTCACTGTGGGCAAGCAGAACATAGACTTGCTTCGTTTAAATGTCCATGAAATGCTGGAGGCACTGCTGGATCTGCGTGTGAAGTCTCCTTGTTCACTGTGTCTCAAGTCCTGCTGGGAGAAACCAAGATGATGACCAAGGCCATTTGCATGGTGTACCTTGTTCTGACCCATTTCTTTTGGTTCTTCAGGGACAGATTGGTGGCTCTGAGGAAGAAAGGCTGGCAGAGTGGTGAAGCGGGAATCTGTTGACACAGATGGATATGGTTGTTTGTTCTGCTTTGCAGACTTCCTACACCAACCACGTGCTTGCTGCAGCCGGGAGAGGGAGAAAAGAAGACCACATTAATACAGAATTGGCAGTCTTACAACCGTAACTCTCCATTGCTGAGTTGTTACTGCAAATAATTACGAAGCAGACTTCACTCAGTATGCTTGCAGCAAATGTTTCACTTCAATAACAAAGAGAAAGCACCCTGCCAAAATCCCAAATATTTACATAAGGAGCCTTGAAGACAACAAGAATAAATGGTAGAGGAGCCCTGCCTTGGGGGCTGAATTACACTAGCTTGAAATTCTCACTTACTATTGACTTGTTCAGATTCATTCATATTCTTCCAACACTACTGCCTTAGTGGACAGCTAAAGAACAAAATGAAGAAATGGGAGATGTATGTTACCATCATTATTATTTCTCATTTATTCCTTACTGTGGTGTAATTTTTTAATTTTTTCTTCTGAAACATCAAAAAGCCTTTAGCAAGCAACCTCATTCTCTGTTGTCTCAGTGGGAATTTACTACTACTTTCAACTCTTTCACATTTTCTCTTTTACATCTGGTTAGTTGAACAGTGCTCCCTGGAACACACTTGTTCTTTTATTGAGCTCCTAATGGCTTTAAGGAGAGCTTTGGACACCTGGTTTTCTTGTATACACCTAGACTGAAGATGTAACCTCATGGTTATGATCTGAGTCTGGACCTGAATCTCATCCCTAGGGCAGGATTCAGTTGTCTACCTGCCAGATACTTGAGCATATGCACAGGTACAGCAGCTGTGACAAATGGGCAGCCAATGTCCTCCTCAAGAAGCTGCTGGATGCCAGGTGGCCTTCCTATGGAATTAGACACTGATGTGTGTGTAGCTGAACTGAGTCCCTAGTGTCTGAGCAATCATAAGGCTTTTTATCATCCCACCTTTCTCAGTGAGGCTTTTAGAAGTTCACATTTTAAAAAGTTTTATTTACAATCTTCTTACTGAAAATTCTCACATAACACAAAACGCTAGATTTCTGTCCCAAAAGAGACAGTTGGACAAAGTGCCAGATCATCCCCTTGAGTATAAACATTAATCTCAGCTATGGAACTTGTCAGTTGGAAACAACAGAGGAGAAAGTACTAGGTATCTTGGTCACTATGTGCTGTTAAAGTGACAAGGCTGTGACAAACATGATTCTGGGCAGTCTCAAGTGAGTTAAAAAGGTATTAATATGCCGTGTACAACACTGCTATGGCCTCATCCAGAATGCTGCACGTGACTCAAATCACGCCGATGTGAAAAAGAATACATTCAAACTGAATTCTGGGCAGTCTCAAGTGAGTTAAAAAGGTATTAATATGCCGTGTACAACACTGCTATGGCCTCATCCAGAATGCTGCACGTGACTCAAATCACGCCGATGTGAAAAAGAATACATTCAAACTGAAAAAGATGCAGGCACAAGGAAAAAAAAAAACAAAACAAAGATGAAGTATCCATTAAAAAACCTGAACTGCAAACTAATAAAAGGTTTCTGCTCACAGAAGATGAATCTTGATCATTTTACCAAAGATATTATATGATGTGATAGAAAGGGATGAGAGCTGGCAACCAGGGAGATCCTTTGTATCCGCTGTCTCTAAAAGAGCTCTGTACATTGCTGCTTCTAACATCTTGCTAGTGCACATCACATTGTCTTAGTGACCCAGATCTGTCATAGCCATCTCCTGTTTTTTTTTTTTTTTTTATTGCAGTGATTCTAAAGGCAAAAAAGGTTTTTCACATCTGCAAAAAATGTTTTGCTCATTCGTGATTGTCTAGCTAGAGGTGATCTATAGGACAGCCAAACCATAGGAGTTCACTTAGGCATTGCAGATGAATATCTATTTATACACCAATGCATATGTAATGAGGTATATTAATTCATAACCTATTTCTGTATAATATAATAACCTCTTTTCCTTAATGCCATAAAGAATTAAATGAATTAATGGGTAAATTAACCACAGTAGCGTAGCAGTTTCGTTAACTGATAAGAAATTGAGTACATGAGGCAAATGAAGTAAGTCAGATTGTCAACAAAACATTAACCAGAAATCACTTTAGACCTCCACATGCAACATTATTTTATTTATGCAATAGGTGAGCTAATTTGTTTAAAAAATTACTCAACAAGATAAAAGGCTTGTGTCCATGAATAAAACACCAGCTGTTTTTTAACTGAAGACATTTCTGGATAACCCAGCAAAACCAATATGACATGCTGAAAGTACACAAACAAATCACTGCACTCTTTTGATAGCTTTGTTCAAGAAAAGTCTCCTATTATTGCTGTTTGCACTAACGAAAGGTACTATTTTTTCCTGCTCAGTATCTCTGATACCAGATATGCTACATGGACTCAACCACCACGCTTGCTGAATCAACAGAAGCACCCCCAGGACACTTTGCTGACCTCTCAGAGAGAAGATGGTGGATTGCCTGACCATGGCTAGTTTTTGTGCTATATTCTTGTGTTTTCGTAGTCTTAGCTGGTAATTTGGCAGATCAAGGATCCAAAGAAACCAAGGACCCAAGCACTGGTAATAACTGGGACAAAACTGCGCCTGTAAACACAAGGCTTTTGGGGGACAGATTGGACACTTGCACTGGGGCACAGACATGAAAATAGCTGGTTTGAGCTTTTCCTAATATTTACAAATACTCCAGTTTAAATCAGCTTGTGTTAGTTTTGGATTGTAGCTATTGAACACAAGGTGCAACACAGGTGCAACCAAACTGCCAGCACTCAAAAGGATGCTCACCTGAGGCATCGCCTATGAGGGTATGGAGTGAAGAGGCAACACCAGGATAAATGGATGAGGTGAGATGAAACATCCCTGCTCAAAACCCTGGGGGGTCTCATGGAGGAACTTTCTAACCAATATGTGGATAAAAAGTAGAGCCTCAAAGGAAAGGGGAAATGCACTACTAAACGGGAGCACTTGGAAAGGGCAACCTGCCCCATGCAGCTAAACAGCTTTAGGTATCTGGAACATACACTAACAAGAAAAATCTACTTTAGGTAAGTAAGTTATTAGTTTTAGGGTTCTGTCATTTTTAATTTTTTCCCTTGCTCTTTTAATGCTCCTATGATCAGATCAGAGCATTTTGTTTTATACAAGGTATTTGCTTTTGTTCCCGCTACTGGGTCACAGCTCCTGGTCAAGCTCAGTTGGTCTGGGAGAAGACAAAGGTGCATCAGAGAGGAGAAGGGGACAAATAGAGCCTGCCCCTAGGATGGCTGCCTGCAGGTCAGGCCAAGGGACATCACTAACACAGCTTATTTCTGAACAGCTCTGTTTATAGGAAGAATTGTTCACCTTGATCCTTTTTTGTTTAGATGTGTTATGATTTAGAAGACTTATTATTTTCCAATGCTGCTCTTCATGACGTGGCCAGAAAGGGGAAATAATAGGGGGAGATTTTAAAAATACTTTCATCTTAAAGCAACACAAACGAAAACTTTCCTGACTGTGAGAATATCGGACTGCACAACTGTCCTACAGGTAGAGTGTCAGAAGAGCCTTCTCATGAAATGCTAGTGAATAAAGATTACAGGCTAATCCTATACTGTAGAGAACTGGATTATGTGCACTAATAAGACTTTTCTGTGTCTATGTTCTGTTGCTTGTCAGAGATCACAGAGGGGATTCGATGATTTAAGTCAGGATTAAAACTCAGGCGAAACTAGCTCCTGGTCCTGTGCCGAGCCCGGTGACTGTGCTCCCTCGTACCCCCCTGGCAGGGCAGAGGGAGAGCCGCACGCAGCCCGTGCACTCATGGGGTCGCTCCTCTTTCATTTCAACCTTACGGGGCCTGACAGTCCCACAGAGTTCAAACTGGATTTCCACGTGTGACCCTTCTCGGGAGAAACCACGGCAGGCAAACGGGATACGCTGATCTCCCACTGCCCTTCTGGCCATGGGATGCCAAAAGCAGCCAGACCTATTTTTGTGCCTTGAGGACGGCGTGATGCACATGCAACTACTCATTTCAGCAGAGCAGCCTTCTCCCTCCTCCCCAGCTCTTCCCTTGGCTTTGGAAGCTGTCGATCCAAAGCTGCTTTGATCCAACAGCTGATCCATTCAGCTTTTTTTTTTTTTCTGAATTCTTTTCTTTTTAAAGTCCTTATCTTCAGCTTTCTCACAGCTTGCTTTTTGCACTGCCTGATACCTGGCTGCAGCCCGGCAGAGCCCTGCCTGGTACAGCCTGGCCAGGCTGCCTGCCTCAGGCACAAGCGCGGCGGAGATGCTGGAGAGGGGGTCAGTCATCTGAGAGGACAAAGACTCGACACAAACCCACACGTTGATTTTGACTGAAATTCCAAATACAGAGAGAGAAAGCTGTCAGACCTCGCCATAAAGACACAACAAAACCGGCCATTGACTGAACAGATTAGCTCTCTGGCAGAACAGATTTTTTCATCTGGTGCTAATCTGCTGCTCATTTATAATCTCTGCACAAATCTTTGTGAAGCCTGGCGGGATTTAGAGTCTTTGTGTATTACAATGGGCTGCAGAAGAATTTCATGACGAATATCCGGGAATGCCATAAACAACCTGGGGAGAACCTTGCAGAAATGCACTTTTTCAACTTCACTTGGGCTACCTGACACAAAAAAATCCACGAGTGCTCCTGCAGTCTATTTTAAGTTATCTGCTTTTTAAGAAAGCAGATAGTGATCTCATTACGCATTATCTGTATTAAGCACTGCCAGCAGGGCTCCGCTGAGGTCAGAACCCAGCCAAACAGCCAGCACGGCAACGGACTCGCCATCTCGAGCCCAGGTTTTGCCCACCTTGCTCAACAGGAGTGCGACAGTGTTTGTTTAATTGTATTAAAACCAGTGGGATTGATCCAGAAATAATAATAAAAACGAATCAACTTGAGAAAAAATAGCACAGATTAGTCCTCAGGATCACCGTAAATCTTACTTCAAAGGCAAAATCTATTCTCAAGGGCAGAATATTAAAAGGCAAGATACAGAAATTAAATTTAAAATTGAGTTGAATA